AGTATGGTCTCTGCAGTCAGCAGTAATCAGATGCAAATATAATATATTCTAGTATCTCCTGGAAGCTGAACTCATTCAGACTCTGAAAAGACTGAGAATAAAATAAAATGTTCATTACCTCAGCTCCTAAGCTTAGAGAAATTATTTCATCCTCAAAAGCAGAATGTGTATCAATGTGAGGTGGGATTCCTATAACATAAAATAAAATGATAATTAAGTCAAGAACAATAACTGGGATGTGCTTTTCATGTTCAGTTCACCATTAGTCCTATTTTTCTCAATTCATATGCCAAGGATCTTCTTTACATGACTTCTAACCAAAACTACATATGTGGAATGAAGGTATGGGAAACTCATTCCAGATGAACACATTTTGCAGCTGTTTGGAATGGTTTTGGACAGGTTCACCTTTGCCTATGCTGTTCACCTTTGCCTATGCTGACGAAGACTGATGGGAGAAGAAGTTGAGCAAAAAAACCAAATCATACTGCTCATATATTGCCACATAACACTTAAAGCACTCTCTAACCAGTCTACAATTTAATTATGCAGGCTACATAATCCCCCCAACCCAGCAAGCTGAGTATTCAATTTACTGACCTCAGAAGAATGGAAGGCCGAGTGAACCTTGAGCTGGGTATCTGGGACTGAACTTGGGTTGTGAGCAGAGTTTTGGCTGCAGTACTGCAGTTTTAACCATCGCACCATGAGGTACAAGCAACACTTGAACAACTTTGTTTTGCTCACCCCTGGTTTAGGATGTGCCTCAGACCTTATGCCAGGCAGTTTTGCCACCTAAAACCACAGCTCTCTGACCCTTTTCCTATTTCCCCATGATTTCTTGCATGTCTGTGCTCATACAGTTATACCCACTGGCTCAGTCCTCTCAGTCCAAACCCTTAAATATTTGGGGCACCAAGGCTCCTCAAAGTACTTGGTTACTTTCCGGTTATAATTTTAAAAAATACTCAGCTAACCTGCTCTTAAACATAATTAAATAGTTACTTTTTGTTTAGTTGCTTAGTCATGTCCGACTCTTTGTGACCCCATGGACCAGAGCACGCCAGGCCCTCCTGTCTTCTACTGCCTCCCGGAGTTGTGTCAGGTTTATGTTGGTTGCTTCGCAGACACTGTCCAGCCATCTCATCCTCGGTCGTCCCCTTCTCCTCTTGCCATCACCCTTTCCCAACATCAGGGTCTTTTCCAGGGAGTCTTTTCTTCTCATTAGATGGCCAAAGTACTGGAGCCTCAGCTTCAGGATCTGTCCTTCCAGTGAGCACTCAGGGTTGATTTCCTTTAGAACTGATAGGTTTGTTCTCCTTGCAGTCCAGGGGATTCTCAAGAGCCTCCTCCAGCACCACAATTCAAAGCCATCAATTCTTCGGCGGTCTGCTTTCTTTATGGTCCAGCTCTCACTTCCATACATCACGACAGGAAAAACCATAGCTTTGACTATTCGGACTTTTGTTGGCAAGGTGATGTCTCTGCTTTTCAAGATGCTGTCCAGATTTGTCATCGCTTTCCTCCCAAGAAGAAGGCGCCTTTTTATTTCAGGGCTGCTGTCTCCATCTGCAGTGATCATGGAGCCCAGGAAGATAAAATTTGACACTGCCTCCATATCTTCCCCTTCTATTTCCCAGGAGGTGATGGGACCAGTGGCCATGATCTTAGTTTTTTTGATGTTGAGTTTCAGACCGTTTTTTGCACTCTCCTCTTTCACTCTCATTACAAGGTTCTTTAATTCCTCCTCACTTTCTGCCATCAGAGTGGTATCATCTGCATATCGGAGGTTGTTGATATTTCTTCCGGCAATCTTAACTCCGGCTTGGGTTTCTTCCAGTCCAGCCTTCCGCATGATGTATTCTGCATATAAGTTAAACAAGCTGGGGGACAATATACAGCCTTGCCGTACTCCTTTCCCAATTTTGAACCACTCAGTTGTTCCATGACCAGTTCTAACTGTTGCTTCCTGTCCCACATATAGGTTTCTCAGGAGACAGATAAAGTGGTCAGGCACTCCCATTTCTTTAAGAACTTGCCATAGTCTGCTGTGGTCCACACAGTCAAAGGCTTTCGCATAGTCAATGAAGCAGAAGTAGATATTTTTCTGGAACTCTCTGGCTTTCTCCATAATCCAGCGCAAGTTAGCAATTTGGTCTCGAGTTCCTCTGCCTCTTCGGAATCCAGCTTGTACTTCTGGGAGTTCTCGGTCCACATACTGCTGAAGCCTACCTTGCAGGATTTTGAGCATAACCTTGCTAGCGTGCGAAATGAGTGCAATTGTACGGTAGTTGGAGCATTCTTTGGCACTGCCTTTCTTTGGGATTGGGATGTAGACTGATCTTTTCCAATCCTCTGGCCACTGTTGAGTTTTCCAAACTTGCTGGCATATTGAATGTAGCACCTTAACAGCATCATCTTTCAAGATTTTAAATAGTTCAACTGGAATGCCATCACCTCCACTGGCCTTGTTGTTAGCCAGGCTTTCTAAGGCCCACTTGACTTCACTCTCCAGGATGTCTGGCTCAAGGTCAGCAACTACATTGTCTGCGTTGTCCGGGATATCCAAATCTTTCTGATATAATTCCTCTGTGTATTCTTGCCACCTCGTCTTGACGTCTTCTGCTTCTGTTAGGTCCCTCCCATTTTTGTCTTTTATCATGTTCATCTTTGCGCAAAATGTTCCTCTAATATCTCCAATTTTCCTGAACAGATCTCTGGTCTTTCCTTTTCTGTTATCTTCCTCTATTTCTTTGCATTGTTCATTTAAGAAGGCCCTCTTGTCTCTCTACAAAGTAGGACAAGGGGAAATACAACCCCAAGAAGAGAAGGTAACAAAAATTTCTAGGTGGTACAGGCCCAGGACAAAGAAGGAAGTTCAGCAGTTTTTAGGCCTGGTAGGATATTACAGACAGTTCGTGCCTAACTTTGCCTCGATAGCCGCCCCACTAACTGATTTAACTAGAAAAAAGGCCCCGGTGAAAGTAGTGTGGGGTCCTTCCCAAGAAAGAGCATTCAATACCCTGAAAGAGATCATATGCGAATTACCAGTTAGGTTTGCACCCGATTTTGACATACCATTCACTCTTTTTACTGATGCTTCCGATCGGGGTATAGGTGCAGTCCTATCTCAGATTAAAGAGGGGGTAGAATACCCGGTGTTGTATTTAAGTCTTAAGTTGTCCCCCCGGGAACAAAAATACGCGGTCATTGAGAGGGAAGCTCTAGCCATCAAATGGGCTACTCATAGTCTTAAATATTATTTATTAGGAGCCCCCTTTGACTTGGTCACCGACCATGCCCCTTTACAGTGGTTAGAGAGAATGAAAGAAACCAATCCACGATTAACCCGGTGGTATTTAGCCTTACAACCCTTCTCTTTTCAAGTAAGATACAGGAAAGGCAAAGAGCATACTAATGTCGACTATTTTTCTCGGCAGGGTCCGTGGGCGCGCAGCGAGGAAGAGCGGACGGCACTCTTGGAGGGGGGGATGTGTGACACCCGTACCCCGGGTCGCGAGGTGATGTTGGGAGTGCCGTCCCGCCCTAGAGCCTCCGTGGGCACCCAGACAGCTCCCAAACCTTTCCCACCCCGGATGTTACATCAGGCCGTGGACACTATGGACTTAGAACGGGGCCTGAAGGGGTTAAATATATCGACCCAGACTCCTCAGGTTTGGGCGGGAAGAGCTTGGAAGGATCCTGAGGAGGGAGCTGTGGGGGAAGTTAGTAGGAGGAGGGACACTGAGGAAGAAGGATGGGAATGGGTGTCCATCCAAGACCCTTGGACGGGCAAGTGGGAACAGGTTCGTCTCACTAAGAGGGAGGCAGAGGAGAAGAGAAGGAGGGAAATGACAGTTAGACCCTCTTATTGGGGAGAAAAGGAGACGAGAGAGTGGCGGCGAAAGCTGGGTGAAGAGAAGAGGCGAGTAGAGAAAGAGAGGGAGGAGAAGAAGTTATGGCATCTAGAAGAGTTGAAGAAACTGGGTTATTACCAGGACCCTGGGATGCCGATGGGGCCGAGAACCATGTACCCTGGGGGTTTACAGGGTATGAAGAGACAACCCCGTTACTAATCTCTGACCCAGACGACTTCGCTCCTGAAGAACCCCCCCAGGTTCAGGCTGGTCCATGGGCGGCGAGGTCAAGCAACCCGTTTGATGAAGACTGGGTACCCCTGTATGAGCCGTTGCTCACACAGGAGAAGTTTATTCCCAAGTTGGTGGACATTTCCATTCCCTTACCCAAGTTAATAAATGAAGAAAAGTTTAAAAACGTCTTCTGTTTTATTTGGTTCGGGGGAGGCGAAGACTAACGGACCCTCACACTCAGTCCTCTCAGTCCAACCCCTTAAATATTTGGGGCACCAAGGCTCCTCAAAGTACTTGGTTACTTTCTGGTTATAATTTTAAAAAAATACTCAGCTAACCAGCTCTTCAACATAATTAAATAGTTACTTTTAGTTACTTTTTCAGAAACACATCTGAATGCTACAAATCACTGGCTTGTGGTAAAAAAAAAACCAATGTTTTCTTCCACCCAGCTTTCAACATCTCAATGCCGGCTACAGAACATGAGGCCATAGCACAAGCCAGCACTTCAATTCTGGGACATTCATAAGCTTACATAAGCTTTGGCACAGCATGATTTATGTGCGCAAAAAGGCTCCAGATTCAATCTTTGGCATCTCCAGGAAAGGCTGAAAAGACTACAGCCTGAAATCTCAGAGACCTGCCACAGTCAGTGTCAACAGTACCAACTTAGATACACCTAAAAGTTGACTCTACATAGGGCAGAAAATTTTACATTTGGTTGGTTTCCCAAGCAAATGTAAACATTTTCCTTTCCAACTAGGTATCAGTTGGATGTGAATAGACCTGGTCCACCTGGAATCGCCACCTCTTCCCTAAATCTCATTACATCTTCATATAAAATGACTTTTTTCTTTACTTGGCTTTTCTTAACTTGATAGACCCACTTGGCTTTGGACTCTTTAGGATCACAGGGTGAAGTTAACATGGCACTGGAATGTAAGTACATACCTTGTCCAGGTTCATATTGATTTATAGTCAACTGATCAGGACTGTCTTTAATGTATCCCATGTTCAGGCATTTCTCAAGAAACGTGTTGCAGATATCTGGGAGACCTGACATTAAGAAGCAAAATATGTACGTAAGTGAAATTCTAATGACTTCCCTCCCTCAAAATTGCTCTATCATAGAGAATACAACAAAGCAACAGGAAAGCTGCAAAGTTTAATAGCAACATCCTCAAAACAGAGTAACATACAAGGGACACCCAAATCGCAATGGGTCACCTTACAACCCCTGCTTTTAGAGCCATTCCAGTGTTAACTAGGGCTAACCAACTTTCAATTACTGCAGACCCAGGAGAAAAGCCAGCCTGTGTTGCCCTGGGCAAACTGCACAGTTCCAGAGCGGTCCAAGAAGAAGGGAATGGAAAACCACTTCTGGGTATTCTTCAACTGGAAAATCCTGAAAAGAGTCACCAAAGTCAGAATTGACTTGATGGCACATGATTATTAGATGATCCTCTTTTGAAATCCATAAGACCTCCTTCTCTGTAAGCATGATTCAGTTTTCACGTTAAGATAAACAAAAGCTCTGCAGTGCAATCTCTTTTTCAGGTATACTTGGAAGTAAGTTCCACTGACTTCATTGGGACTTATTCCCAAATGAGCATGAGCAGACCACCTTAGAGACTGTCTGTTCCATGCCACCATTGCATAAATGCTTTGGGAATGACTAATGAGATACGGGGCATTCTGTTTAGATGCTCACCTCCAGGTAATGGCCTGTCTCGATCAATGTTGTTGTTATCATACCGGAACTCATATCCAAAATGTTTTACCCTCCTGTGTTTTAAAGACTTCTGAGCTGTGAAAGAGAAAAGAAGCAAAAATAAAACATCTTAAAAACAGTTACAAACATATTAGCACAATATGCTTTGTCAACTGGTACACCATCAAAGTTAAACTGACAGACACTATGAATCTAGAAGTTCCTGATTTGAATTCTACCTCTGCCTTGAAATCACTAAGTTGAATTTAAGCAGAGTGCTTCAGTTCCCATATCTATTATACAGTACAATCCCTAATGCATCTCACTTACATTGACCAGCTACTCATTACTATGAGTCTTCTCCAGGTCGGTCGGTCGGTCTGTCTAAAATATTTATATGCCACCTTTCTCCTACAGGATCCAAGGTGGATTATAGTAATTTTTAAAAGTTAAATAATAAATTATTAAAAGTATTAAACAGATAAATTAATTAAAAGCTCAAGTAAAACAGCAAAATAAAAGAATCCCTTTAAAATCCCTCATGGTGGGCCATCATGGGTCTGACAAAGAACTAATTGTCTATACACCTGCTCTGATCCACAGCTAGAACAAAGAACTTTATTGGGCTCCTAGTTTAAGGATTCCCTAGATGAGCTTGACTGGCTATACAGTATACAAAACTGTACATGACTTGTCAGCGTTAGCATCACTGAGATCACTGCCTTTTCAGTTCATGATGTTAACCCTGGTACTAAGATAGCCTGGAAGTTACAGTATAGGTAACTATCAATTTATGTAGGATAATGGCAAGGCTGGATCTGCTATCCTGCCATTATCAAAGAGCACAGAGACTTAAAATATATAGACAGACAGATAACCTGCAAAGAATTAATGAAGGACAACTCTGCAGTTATACAAAACAGGAGGCCAAATAGGATGCTTTGGGGAATAACGGTAAACATGGACTTATGGCAAGGGTGAGCAACATGTGGCTCTCTAATCTGTTACTGGACTACAGTTCCCATGAGATCTAGCCCATGATACGGAACTGAAGTCCAATAACATTGGAAGATCCATAACTCCCCTATCCTCACTGTATCAGTTACTTACTGTTTGGGAGGGCCTCATCCTCTGCCCAGTCAATGCTTTCCAAAAGTTGTCTTTCTTCTTCAGGTGAAATCAGCTCTTCGATTATGCTCAGACCAGGAGGCAAGGCTGGAGGAGTCATGTCTTCCCAAGGAACTAAGAGTAGAAAAACACCAAGATCTGCCCATGAAAATGACATACAGTGGGACCTCGACTTACAAACGTCCCTACCTACGAACTTTTTGACTTACGAACGGCTCCGTTTGCAAAAATTGGCATCAACTTGCAAATGGAGCCTTGACCTACAAACAAAAAAAGGCAGGGGGAAAGGGTGGGAAATTTGAATAATAAGATGTTGTGATCATATCACATGTCTCAGAACAAAGGGATGATTTTCTTTCCGGGAATAAAGAAAATGGTGGAATGCACTCCCCCACCACTCATCATCGGGTAAGAGGGGTGAAGGGGAAGAAGCCAGCCAGAATGCAGGAAATATATGGGTGTCAATAAAACAAAAGTGATTGCAGTTTGGGGGGAAAGGACTCCCACCTCCACACATACACAGATGCTTTTCAGTTTACTTTTTCTCAAGTAATTTTTATTTTTGCAGATTTTGATTGTTGTGGGACCTTTGGGCCTTAGTTTGCCTTAATTCTGAGAGAAGCTCCAGATTTTAACAATGGGTTAGACAATTCCTTCTTGAATATTCTATACATCCTTTTCTTTTGTGATTTTTTTTTTTCAAAGAGCTGCATTTTTCTGAACTAAATTTCCGGCTTGTGGGCCTCCCTGAGAAAGCCTTGAATCCCTTACTATCTTCTTTCTTTCTTTCTCTCTCTCTCTCTCTCTCTCTCTCACACACACACGCACACGCACACACACACAGGCCCAGACTTTGCCACTTTGTTTTACATTTGCCTTCCAACTGTCCCATCTGAATTTTTCTGGATTAATTTTCCTGCACACATTCTCCAAAGACTTCAGGAACCTCTTCTTTGGAATAAATAAATATAAGTCTTTCCTTCTCAATATTCAGACCAGCAAAGACTAAGCAATTGGGAATATAGTGAGCTTTAAATAGAAGGCTGATGGAAGATTAGGGGCAAATGTGTTTTATAAAGAGCTAACTGTGGCTAATTTTGCACAACACTAAATTCATCTGATACTTTAATCCAGATTGTTCTGCATACATTTTTCACTTCATCATTGTATTATATTGTGCTAGATGTTCACTGATTTTCCTCTGACATATTTAATATTGTGCCTTCATTTCATGGATCTTTTTTCTTGAGGGATACAAGAACTGATGCTTTGATTAGCAGCTATTTGCTGCTGTGACTTACGCTGTTGCACTTATGCAAGCAAACATACGCAACAGGATTCCAGTCAACATGTTCATACTATAGAAAATGCTCAAACAAAAGTATCAAGAACATTCTGCTTGTGCCCGAGCACCAAGCATTCACCTGAATAGAATGAACTGACAAAACATTTTCTGGAAGATGCATTACTGAATGAAGTGATAAAGCCAAAAGCAACGTTTGACTGAATCTATAATCATATCTGGTCATACACCATAGAGCTTGTTCCCAATGGACTGTATAGCACAAAACCTTTCACTTTAGGACAAGAGAATTGCTGCTTTTCAGATTTAAATGCCTTACTGCTCTGTCAAAGCAAAGGTCACTGTTTTCCCCAGTCATTTCAGGTGAGATGTCCACCACATGCACTTGACTCATTTCAGGACTCTTGAGATTCATCAGCTATTTGAGCTGACAGCCAATAAATATAGCAAAGAAGGAAGACTATGCCCAAATCCAAAGAGCTGTGATATCTGTAAGCACAAGATGGATTTAAATCTGCCAGAGCCAGTCCTGCCATTAAGCATAATGAGGTGGTCACTTCAGAAAGCAAACTGTTAGTTACTTGATTTATTATGACTAGGTTTCACCTGCCAAAAAAAGGGAGAAATACTTCTGGAATTTTCTGCTTTAGATATCAAATTAACTTCTGCCCTGGGTGCTGTTCTGACTTGGCAAGACACTATGCTTTCACTTGGTAAGTGAGAACTACAATTTAATTTTCTTCCTCTAATGGCAAACTAACCTAGGCTGGCCCAGCTTTCTTTCAAACAGCTTCCCTTTTGTGAGCAGAGGGGAGTTTCAGAAAACATTTGTGACACATTATTATATCAAATTGTCTAGGGACCTAGCACGGGAACTGCTACATGAACCAAAAACCTTCCTGAAACCCTTAGGATAGTGGTTCCCAACCTCAGATCCCCTGATGTTCTTGGACTAAAACTCCCAGAAGCCTTCACCACTAGCTGTACTAGCCAGGATTTCATGCAGTTGCAGTCCAAGAACATCTGGGGATCCACGGCTAGGAACCACTGCCTTAGCCAGTGCATTTGATGTTATACTCATAGATTTCTGTTTTCCTGGCCCAATAGATAACCAATCTTGCAAGCAAGTTCTCAAAGGATTTAGTTCAGAAGATGTGATTGTTTTTCACTGGCATCAAGTCTAACACATACATCCATATGTTAGGTGTTTGTGACATGTGAAAGACTCAAATGTTTTTTAAGAAAAGTTTTTCCTCTTATCACCAGAAAACAAACAAATTATCTCTTGGCCCTATTAAGCCTGATTGGCCCTATCAATTGCTTAGATGCTTAATGGAGGGGACAGGACATAGACTGCGTCTAGTACCTCCTTTCCACTTCATTCCATCCAAGAGGCAATGTTGTTGTTGTTTAGTCGTTAAGTCGTGTCCAACTCTTCGTGACCCCATGAACCAGAGCACGCCAGGCCCTCCTGTCTTCCACTGCCTCCCAGAGTTGGGTCAAATTCATGTTGATAGCTTCAGTGACACTGTCCAACCAGAGGCAAAGGACACTACAAAAGTTGATAGTGCAGAGTATGCTTTTATGAGTGAGCACAAGAAAGTGGCAGGAAATGGTCTGAATAGCAGTAGCAAGCATTTTTTCTCTGGAGTACAACTCCCAGAATCCCCCAGTCAGCATGGTCCATGATAATACTGACTGGGCTACAGGGGGAGTACAGTGGTGCCTCGCTTGATGCTTACCCCGCATGATGTCAAAATCGTTTTACTATGAGTTTTTCCAATCGCTATTGCAATCGCAAAACGATGGTTCCAATGGGGGTTTTCCGCTTGACGTTGATTAGGAGCCTGCTTCACGAACCATCTGTTCGCTTAACGATGATTTTTACGGCTCCGCAAAATGGCTTCCCTTCATAAAATGGCTTCCCTCCCTTCGCAAAATGGCTGTTTTCCAGAGGGAAGCGTCGCATTACAGAGAATTAGAACAGGAGATCGGTGGTTCTCTATGGGTGATCTTCGCTGGACGATGAGGTATTTCCCCCATTGGAATGCATTGACCAGTTTTCAATGCATTTCAATGGGGTTTTTTTTCGCTTGACGACGATTTTGCTTAACAGCGATTTTCCTGGAATGGATTACTGTCATCAAGTGGGGCACCACTGTAGTTTCTTTTTTAGACTACAGCTTCTAGAATTTCTACATTTTGTGGGTGTGAACTATATACGAATACCCCAGCACAGTTGGAGTTAACAAGGGTCCAGCCCTCTGGGGCCAGACTGTCCACTCAGGCATCTGCCGCCAATACCTTGCAATACCTTCTGCTCCTTGGAGAAGGAGGGAAGACGAGTGTCCCTGCAAGGCTGACGAGTGGCTAGCCAACCAGGCGCTCCAGAGCGATTGGAAGGAAGAGTGGCGGCGGTGGCAGACATGCGAATAGACAGTCCAGTTCCAGGGGACAGTCCCCTGTTAACTCGAGCTGTGTGCAGGTACTGTATTCGTATACAAATATGAATACCCCCATCTCTGGTCTGAATGATACAAGCAAGCATATACACTATGTTGGCTGGCTAGCTCAGTAAGTTAAATATCTGTTTGCAGAGCCAGTCATTGAAAATTCAGTTCCTCCCCGTGCCTCCCTGGAGAACAGCCAGCTTGTGTAGCCTTGGACAAGCTGCCCAATCCCAGGATATACCCAGAAGAAATGAATGGTAAACCACTTCTGAGTACTTTATACTTAGTATAACCTAGGAAGAATCACACAGAATTGACTTGAGAGCACATAAATACTATCATTACATACTGCAAGCAAGGGCCAGCCATAATGTTAGACAGAAGGCAGCAACCACTGTCAGGAAACAGATACTTGCAGGTTCGATATAAAACTGGCAGTCTTTCAACTGTTTCTTCTGAAATCTCAACGGAATAACTGTTAAAGGTCAAAGTAACATACGCCACACAATGAATTCTGAGCTCTTTAAACGACTCTGCTTTGTCCCAAATGGAAGATAGCATTAAGGGGTGATTCAACTATTGCTCCAGCAGTAGGGGAGGGGATGTAACCATGCCATTAGCCTCAGGCAGCATAGTATCTTGGTCTGGCTTCAATGGAACCAGCCAGGAAAATAACTAATGTAGTTGGCCAGGCTTCCCCTGTTTGCCTAGTTATAATAATAAAATAACAGCAATACCTTGTTCCACAAAGTTGAAATAAAGAACAACACTTTGGAGGGAGTCCTCCACTTTGATCTCATTCCCATTAAGGGAGTTGTAGGCGCGTGTGGCATCTTTCAACGTTCCATATTTCACAAATGAATAGGGTTTATTTGGTGGCATTAAAAGGACTTCCACCAGCCCGCATTTCTCCACCACACAGAGCAGCTGGCATCGACTTACACCGTTACCCAGACCTCCGTTGGCAATGACCAGGCTCTAATTACGGACAAAGAGAGAACAAGAAGAGGAGGGGGAAAGGGGGCAAAAAGACACAGACATGAGTAATCAACATTAATTTGTTCATCTGAAAACAGCATTCCATAAACACAGCAGAGCAATAAAGAGAAAAATGAGGCTATTATCTGAGAGGAGTCATTTCTATTTGAAAATCTGAATGCAGTGCTTGGAATTTAAAGAGCATGGAGTATTGCTCGAAAAAGGGAGTGTTAACTTTCGTCTGCATCATCTACTCAAGCACAAGAAGGACTGAATCAGAAGGACAGAAGGGATATTAGAGGTTTTCTAGTCCAACCCCTACCAATGCAGGATCTCTGAAGAAGGACATAATTGCACCAGGATGGACAACCTGTGGCACTTCAGAGGTTGCTGAACTACACCTGCCACCATCTCTAATGATTATCTGTGATGGCTCGGGATGATGGGAATCTCAATTTAAAGACATCGGAGGACCACAACATGTTCAATAACAGCACCCCTGACAGATAGCCATCCACTTTCTGCTTAATTACTACCAAGAAAAAAAGCCCACCATCTCCTGAGGCAGTTCGTTCCACTGTCAAATAGTTCTTACTGTTACGAAGTTTCTTTTAATGTTTGGCCATAATCTGCTTCCCTGCAACTTCCACAGCTTATGCATGACACCCCTACAGATGCATTAATCCACCATGGGCAGCTGCATATTACACCAAAAATGTGATTCCGTGGTCACGTGGCCAGCGTGACTAGACACGGAACGCTGTTACCTTCCCACCAAGGTGGTACCTATTTATCTACTTGCATTTTTACATGCTTTTGAACTGCTAGGTTCACTAGAGATGGGACCAAATTATCCCTCCCCCGGACCAGCTGGTCCACTTACCTTTTGTCACGCACCACTGGGGACCTTCTGCTCCAACAGCACACCGATCCAGGCAGGAGCTCAGTTGGCCCAACTCCACCAGCAGCCAACCACTCTGACAAGGAGGTGGGACAAGGATTTTCCCTGCACAGCTCACAAGTGGTCAGCTGCTGGGGGAGGCAGGGACAGGCCAGCTGAGCTCCTGCCTAGATAGGCACACTGCTGGAGCAGTACACAATGAAAGGTGAGTGGACCACCTGGTCCAGAGGGAAGGATGATATTCAGATGAAGGGACACAAATTGATTTAGGTCCCATCTCTATTCTCCATTATATGGCTTATGATGTGGGAGGGAACATCCTGGGAAGGGCCTGGCTGGCTGGCCACCTTAAACCTTGATCAGGAGCAGTCCTTGCCTATGTGAAGTGCCACCTTAAACCTTGATCAGGAGCAGTCCACCAAACTGCAGCATTTTGATGCAAATTCTGCTTGTTGTCTTTATTATGTATTTCACCTTGTCATTTCCTTGCCTATGTGAAGAGACAGACAAACTGCAGTGACTACTCAAAATGGATAAGAGGAGGCCTGTGCAAAGTCCTTTACTACTCATGATGACAGCAGGGACGAAAAAGAGGAATTTCATTGTGTCTTCTGCTGCACCAGGGAAAACAGCTTATGAGCTTACATACATAATGGGATACAAAGGGGAGCAGTGTCTCTGGCACTGAAATCTTCATTGGAGGCAAAATGGAAAGAGGGTACCAGATTGTCTCCCTAAGCTGAGTGATCTCTTCACATAGACAAGGAAGTGAGAGGGAGAAACACATAATAAATCTCCCTAAGTTGCCCACTGCCAATGCATAAATAAGATGAAGCAAATTCATGAGAATGTATTCCCCCTGTCTCTTCACATAGACAAGGAAGTGAGAGGGAAAAACACATAATAAATCTCCCTAAGCTGCCCGTTGCCAATGCATAAATATCTGCCAAAGCAAATTCATGAGAACGTATTCCCCCCGCTTTCTATAGTGTTCCTTCAATTATAATCTAATTATCACTAGCTATTCTACCTATTCTACTGGATGAAGCAAATTCATGAGAATGTATTCCCCCTGTTTTCTATAGTGTTCCTTCAATTATAATCTAATTATCACTAGCTACTGTATTCTACTGCCTCTCCGGGAGGCAGTGGAAGACAGGAGGGCCTGGCATGCTTTGGTCCATGGGGTCACGAAGAGTCGGACACGACTTAATGACAAAACAAAATTCTACCTAACTACAGTGGAGAGACAGGGTGGCTGGACCACTGCACAAGCTCTGCTGAAGGACCACCTCCTATTTGACTCTCTCTCTTCTCTTTGGCCCTCTTTTCCCTCCTCGCTCTCACGGCAAGCAACTGAGTATTTTGTACATGCTTTCTCTTATCCATTTCAGTTCATCACTGCAGTTTGCCTGTCTCTTCATGTACACAAGGAAGTTAAAGAGTGAAACTGCCACTATAAGAACACAGGACAATATGCATCCACAAGCATACCAAGCAGAGATCACCCAATTCAAAACAATGGGACAACTACTTGCATGGTTAAAAACAAACAGATGGGCCCTTTCTAATTTTAAGAGCTGGTTGCAAAGTTCCTAAGTTCTCCTCCTTTCTCCCCCCCACACTTTTGCTTTCCAGCTACATCATAAATGTGCAAGCTGAGATTGTCTTAGCTGTCACTTAGTTGTTTTATCATAGGACAACGATCCTAAAAGGATTTTTCAGCTGAAGAGTGGTGTTACAAATACTTAAATAAATATAAATAAATTGGGGGGGAGGCAGAAAATGAAAGCAATGGGTAGTAGATTAAGGAAAAGGTGAAAGAGTACAGATAGAACTGCTCCACTCCTATGAAATATTTTCCAGGTCCCAATTTAAATGGAACTGCCTTTCAGTCTTTAAAGAAAGGAGGCCACGACACAAAGAAAGCTTCATCCTATATACATGAAGAAAATTTCATTCAAGTGCAAATCCTTTCATCTCCAGAAGAGTACTACCCCTACCGACAAAGCATCAAGGTGCATGGTGAGATATTAAGGTTTGCAACAAGTCAGAGATTGGAGGGATGGGGGAAACATAAGCCCAAAACTGTCCAGTGCGGACTGAGCACAATTATTGACCACGGAATGCTGAATGACATTTGCAAAAGAGAACATCGAAAACTAAGAGCAAAGGTAGAAGTGGAAAAGAATGGAATAGCCTGGAAAAGGTCTAGCCTGGCTAGTGCCTTAAATAAGAGCACGTCATGCTGAAACATTTTGTTGCAGGTTTCACTTTTCTTATGATCACATGCCAGGAAGTGAAGATGGAATCCTCTATCCGCTGGGTGTGTCTCTCACTGAACTCAGTGGAACTATCTCTAGCTACGCCTGTTGATGAATCATGATGTACAATTTATACATGTACTTGCCATGCAGCTGGTAAAAACCACAACTCTAGTCACCTTGGTAGGGTAGGATACACACTCAATGCCCTCATGCTTCCACAGGGTGTGTCTGGCTTTCATCTGTTTTTGCCGCAATTTTTTTTCTGCTTTACTGAGCTTCTGGTTTCGTTGCTCGACGCCATCCAGTTCCATATTGGAAACGTTGACTACAAAGCTGTAATTGAAAGAAAGTGCAAGGTCCAAAAATCCTTTAAGAAAACAGAACAAAAGACAGTAAATATAAATTAAGATTTATTGGCTTAAAACCCAATTATATGCCAGAATCCCATTGGTGTTCACATAAACATTGTGTATCTTATCATGGGTCTATAGAAGCTGTTGAGATAGAAAACTTTTGATCATCTTTTAAACATTTTGGAATACAACTGCCATCATTCCTTAAAGGTGAGTGCTGATGGGAATTGTAACTAGAACCAGAATTTAGGAATGTCACCTTTGTGCTACATCTCCCAGAATGCCCAGCTATTGGCCATATTGGTGGAGGCATTGCAGCCCAAAAGTGATTTTCCATACTGTGGTCAGACCTTTGACATAAGAGCAAGCAGTCCTTTCCATAGGCAATCCACTGAGCAGGGAGGAAAAGGAGAAGAAAGAAAACAAGAAAGGGGTATCATATTGGCCAGTAGATGGTGCACTACACCTATTTATAACATTCCTGCCACTGCTTTTTACAGTATTTCTGTTTCCAGAATTATATGTGCTTAGCTGTGCTATCATCTCCAACCGCTGGGTGCTTTTTCTTCTTTTTTAAATCAGGTACTTTCTGAAAATCTCAGAATAGCTAGCTAATGAAGATAGACTCCAGTGGACTTCCTCAGCCTAGTGGACTAATATGCTGGACTATACATCCCATTATCCACACTAGTCAGGATGGCTGGTGATGATAGGAATTACATCCAGCACCACTGGAGGATGCTAGAATGGGAAAAATTGAGCTAACCCTGTCATTAAAAATAAACAGCTCTACTACTTCACTTGTGGCAGTTACTCAAGCAACACCTGGTAAATTTCTCTTTATTAGGTTCTTTTACAGAGTTGTGTTAATTTTGTCATTTTTGTCTTCTCATCAAAGAGAAACCAGCAGCATTGGCCACAAAAGATATTTCAAAATGCTTACTGGGCAATTAATACAAAAGCAAGTGTACAGAAATGTGGGCAAACATTCAAGATTACTGATCTTTTCCTCAGGCATGGTTTTACAAAAAGATGTCAGATGCTGCGATAGAGGCGGGACAATCAGAAGAAGGCGAAGGACCACACCCCCAAGCGTGCAGAGTAGAGGGGCTAATTTACATGTCAAACTTATGTTTTTATCTTTTAATTTTAAATGTTGTAAAACTGATGTGATAATGTACAGTAAAGGTTGCTTTTAGATGCCAACTAAGTTGAATTTCAAATATTTTTACATTTGGAGGGGGAAGTGTACCTTTTAGTGACTAAAAGGCTTCAAATAAGTACAGTGGATCCCTCAAAACATGGTAAAATTTACTGTCATGGGGAGCACAGGGCAGGCTTTCTGAGGAGAAAATTTTCAAACTTTTAAAAAATGTTTAAAATTGAGGGGGAGGGAGGCCAGGCATATGGGAGCAGCACACAAAAATGGACCTGGAGGCTGCATGGGTCACAGATTTCCCACCAACGACTACAGCCTAATGCAAATTCATTGCTATTTAGTGGTGTCTGACTCTTTGTGACCCCATGGGCCAGAGCACGCCAGACCCTCCTATCTTCCACTGCCTCCTGGAGTGGTGTCAAATTCATGTTTGTTGCTTCGATGACACTGAAATGCAAATTACTCCTCCTCAGCATAATTTCTAGAAGAGGGAGCTCCTGGCATGTTTGGCAAGCTTCTTATACAGGGATTTTCAAAACACATACAGTATAATAATTTTTTTTCCTATTCTGCCACTTTGGGACCAGCTGCCTTTGACTTCCTCACAGCTGCCACCTAGCCTCATTGGTAGGTTCAATCATACAACAAACACAAAAGTATTCAGTGTGAGTCTTCATGCCACTTCTTCAGGCACATGGAGCACAATGTCTGGCCACAGGTTTATATATACTGTATATGGTGGTTGGGAGTAAGCGTAGGGAAGGAACTGTGAATATGGGATCAGATGGGATAATTCCATATTGACACCACCTAACAAGGCAAAAATGGGATTATTGAGGTAGTGACAATTTGAAGTGTTGATAACACTAACATTCTAATATCCACAACTTTATTGTTACATGATATCAAATTACCTCCCACTTCTGACGACCCTATGAATAAGTGATCCCCAACACATCCTGTCCTCAACAGCCCTGCTCAGCTCTTATAAATGCAAGCCTTAAAGAACCAATCCATTTCATATTTGGTCTTCCTCTTTTCCTGCTGCCTTCAACCTTTACCAACATTATTGTCTTCCAGGGAGTCTTGCCTTCTTGTGATGTACCCAAAGACAGACAGTCTTGACTTTTCTGCCTTCAGAGATAGGTTCATGGTTGATTCCCTCTAGAATTCACTTGTTTGACTTTCTGCCAGTCCAGGGTATCACAATAGGAGAGCGCAAATGATTTGAGATCTTAGTACTCCAGTTGCAGGACGAGTCTTCCACAAGAGTGGGTTTTGTTGAGGGCATAGTCTTACCGAAAATAACTATGGTTAGACATAAGACCGAGAAAGTGGCATTAAATGTACAAGAGCTCTAGTTTCTGGAAGTGGAGATTGGCTGGTAGCTGTAGGTGGCAACTAAGGCTGGTCTTGTCATTCTCCTTTTTTTGTTGTTGTCTTCTGCAGATTGTTTCTTTGTTTGTTAGTTTGTTCAATTTCTGGGAACCGGTTTTGCCCTGTCAATTTGGGATATATATTTTTTCCAACTCACTGAGTACCTGCTGCAAAGCCATGAGATTTGAGCTCTGCTTTCTGGATCTAAGGAGACCCCTGAGGTCAGAGACTGTGTGGGTATAATTTTATCGTCCTACAGCTCCCTATGGACTAATGCAAGCTCCTCAGAACACAGATTTCTGCTTCCAAAAACAGAATTAACGTAAACCTTGCAAATCCCAAGTGTTCATTCCTGCGGAACATAAACAGACTCAGTCCTGGTGAAAAAAAAGGAGGGAAGACCCCGGATAAAATCTTGATTGCTCACCCATGCGTTTCGACGAGTGGCATTTGCTCAGCTATTCCACGCTACAAAGAAGAAGTAGCCTCGCTTACCTTACAGGAGGCGGCCATTCTACAGGGAAAGTCGCTGAAACTGCAATTCCCGTGAAGCTCCTCGCCTACAACTCCCATCATGCCTCCGTAAACCTGAGAGTTAACCCCTTAAAAACCGTGTTGGGGAGACTCGCGTAATAGAAACTTTTCAAGCAGTTTCTTTAGGGGTAATTCATTCATTTTCGCAGCGTCCAAATGTACAGTAACGAACACTGGTATTGTTTTCGCGGAGTCCTGGGCGAAACGAATAAGAGTACGCCGCTTTAATGGAAAACTTTCCTCCTCGGTTTGTATGGAAATATCTGTACAAACTGAAAAGATTATTCCGAATCCCAGCATGTTTCCTCCAAAACAAATTTCTGTATGACCCTGGAGCCTTACCTTAGAAATTCTTGAAAGAGTCGACCGAATGCATAACAAATAAAATTCGGGTGGTTGTTTTTTTTAAAAAAATCCGATTAAATGCTACCTCTTGGGCTTATGCTTGCAGTTGCTGTTGTTAATTACCTAGGGATGTAGCGCAGAGTTACACATCCTCTCAGTTCCTTACTCCCTTGAGTTTCAATCTTGTAACGACTTATCCCTCTGAACTCAGTGGGACTTGCTTCTGACATGTACAGGATTGGGCTATAATGAGCATGCCTTTTAAGTGCTTCAGTCGCTCCCGTTAAAATCTGTGTTGGTAAAATCAGTGGGGGGAGAAAGCAAAATACTGTGGGATTTTAAAGACTAACAAATATATTTCATTGTGAGCATTTGTGGATCAAAATCCACTTTGGGCACAGACAGTGCAAACATGTCCTCTTGTATGTATACATATTTCGATGTATATTTGTATGTATAGATATAGGAAGGCATATTATTTACATTCCTTATGTCTGAAGAAGATAAAGAAGACAAAAGAGTCATGGGAAGATGACAATAATGCTGGAGAAGTTGAAGGCAGCAGGGAAAGAGGAAGACTTCATATGAGATAGACTTAAGGAAGGAAGCCACAGCTTTTAGTCTAAAAGATCTGAACAGGGCTGTTACTGATACCTTTTTGTTTCATAGGTTTGCTGTAAGTCAGAGGCAACTTGATGCAGGGTGGCATTAAGACCTTTAAAAGTAAAGGTAAAGGTTCCCCTTGACAATTTTTTTTGTCCAGTCATGTTCGACTCTAGGGGGTGGTGCTCATCCCCGTTTCCAAGCCATAGAGCCAGCGTTTGTCCGAAGACAATCTTCCGTGGTCACATGGCCAGTGCGACTTAGACACGGAACGCTGTTACCTTCCCACTGAGGTGGTCCCTATTTATCTACTTGCATTTGCATGCTTTCCAACCGCTAGGTTGGCGGGAGCTGGGACAAGCAACGGGAGCTCACTCTGTCGCGTGGAATCGATCTTATGACTGCTGGTCCTCTGACCCTGCAGCACAGGCTTCTGCGGTTTAGCCCACAGTGCCACCACGTCCCACTATTAAGACCTTTAGAGGCCCTAAACACTGAAAAGATGAGGGTACCCCTACAAATATACCAGGTCCCATGGTTTGAAAAAAAATGTATAATATGAACCTTATATGAATGAAAACATAGTAATTTAATTGTATAGCATATGGCAAAAAGAACCACGTATTGTATCCAAATTCATACATAGAATCAAATTATAGGTACTGGTTTCCTGCGAAATCTTGCTTTTTCGCACTTTAATGAAGACAGATTTTGTCCGAATCTATACACTAAAAAGCTCAAGCAAGAGCTTAAAACCTCTTTGGGGATGTTTTTAACAGTGGCAGTTATTTCTTTGGCTTGCACATATCACACAGAGGCCATGGGTCTAAAACATCAGCAGTGCTTTTTATCCTCATCCCCACCCAACCTCCCAAAATACAGAAGTTTTTTTTAAGGGTTAATTTATCATTTCACTCAAAACATAAGTTTTCTCACTTGGCAGTTCTTACTGGTTCATACTCAATTACTTTAGATAGGGAAGTGCTTTTCTTGAGAGAGGAAGGGAGAAAGCAGAGCAAGATGAATGGATGTGGTTTAAGGAGGGTGCACCACTTGCACCATAGTCTACGGTGAATCTGGCACCGGAAAAAAAAATGTGATCCCTCCTTCTCTTCTTGATGCCCTAAGCATGAGCTTATTTTGCCTAATGGTTAATGCAGGGCTGACTTGATGAGACATAACAATATGTGTGTTATGTATTTGTGTCCTGTACACATTCTACTGTTTATTTTATATTTTATTGTATTTTGTATTTTATTATTGTTCTGTGCTGCTTGAAATTTTCCATTTTAAGCAATCTATAAATATATAAACGCATCTGTGGCATGTGGGAGCGAAGCGAGAAATAGGTGTGGAGCCAGAGTCAAAAGTGAATGCACCCCCTGTCTCTTTTTCATCTCTCCATCCTTCTGCTGCCCCTTTTCCTCTCTTACTCCTTTTTCATCTTTATTAAAGTAAGTGCAGAGCACACACAATGAAGGAGAGCATGCTGGCTGCACCCACCAGTGGCTGTCTAAAGAAGGGATTGCTGTGTTTTATGTAGACTCTCCATGTGAGCCAGAAGCCTGTTTTTACTACTCTCTGGCTTGTACCGGGAGCTTTCACTGACACAGCCGTCTCCCCCTCTTCAGTTATAGTTTAGAAGAAGTAGCCATATTGGTCTGTGCAAGCATATCGCAAAAATAAAAAAATAAAAAAAGACAAACATTTTGTGGCACCTTAAAGACCAATGTTATATTTTCATGTGACCTTTCGTGGACAAGTCTACTTCTTCAGACATACGAGGCAAAATACAAAATTCACACAGTAAAACATTCAGGCCCAGCCTGAAAGGAAAGAAAGTTTGATAAATATGCATTGACCTACATTCAAATTAGGTTTTTGCTTCCAGTTCTCTGTAGCAAAGCTCCAGAGAGCTCTTCCTTTCTAGGAAGACACCTTGAGAGGACTAGTGCAGCATATTAAGTTGATTCTACCTATATGGACTTCACATATTTTCATACCATGTTCCCCCAAAAATAAGACAGGGTCTTATATTAATTTTTGCTCCAAAAACCACAGTAGGGCTTATTTTCAGGGGATGTTTTATTTTTTCCATGTACAACAGGGGTTTTAAACTCAATTTACCTGGGGGCCGCTGGAGGCAGAGTCTGGGTGAGGCTGGGCCGCATCTTCTGGTTGCTGCACAGTGGTGGAGGGCGGGGTTTCACATAACTAAGTCTTATTTTAGGGGTAGGGCTTATAATACGAGCATCCTGAAGAATCATACTAGGGCTTATTTTCAGGTTAGGTCTTATTTTCTGGGAAACAGGGTATAATGAACGGTGGTTGATTTTTAAGAAGTTGTCTACTACTGAAGAAGTGGTGGTGTATAAAAATATATCAAATTTTACAACCTAGATTAGGCATCCTTCAGTCTCGAGAGACTATGGTAACTTGCTCTGTATGGAGGACTTGGAACAGTGTCTAGTGTGGCTGAGAATCCCAATTTGAGAGTGACAATCCCTTCCACACTGAAGACAAGTACAATCGGTCCCCTGTCCAGCTCCCTGATTTTGCTGCTTTCAGGACTGCCTCTTGGCCTGCTGCTTCAAATTGGGAGAGGCCATGATGCAATGCCTGCCTCCAGACTGAACTCTCATTCCCATCTGTTGAGGTCCATTCCCAAGGCCTTCAGATCCCGCTTGCAGATATCCTTGTATCGCAGCTGTGATCTCCCTCTGGGGTGATTTCCCTGCACTAATTCTCCATAGAGGAGATCTTTTGGAATCGGACCATCAGTCATTCTCACGTCATGTCCAAGCCAAAGTAGACATCACTGTTTCAGTAACGTATACATACTAAAAATTCCAGCTCGTTCTAGGACTACTCTATTTGGAACTTTGTCCTGCCAGGTGATACCAAAAATGTGTCAGAGACAATGAATATGGAACATGTTCAGCTTCCTCTCCTGCCGTGCACAAAGGGTCCAGGACTCACTGCAGTACAGGAGTGTGCTGAGGACACAGACTCTATAGACCTGGATCTTGGTGTATGCCGACAGCTTCTTATTGAGCCATACTCTTTGTGAGTCTAGAGAACATGGTAGCTGCTTTGCCAATGTGTTTATCCAGCCTAACATCTAGGGAGAGGGCGTCAGAGATCATTGAACCAAGATGTAAATAATTAAATGAAGAAGCAAAGAAGGAATTGTGTACTTTTTCCTGTGCTAATAACTAATTTTAACAATTTTATCCCAGGCAAAACAATGTGTTCTCATTCTTGAGACTCCAGATTTTGCTCCGTTGTTATGAGGACTAGAAGTCTGTAAAATGCCGTGGATCCCACGTTGCACAGATGGATTCCACAGTTCATTTGGGTATGGCTACAACAGGCTGCAGAACTATGATGGGACAAAATCATCATCATCTTAGAACTACAGAGCTGAAAGGGACCCTACGGATTACTGAGTCCAGCCCCAGTCAACGAGGCACAGTGGGGAATTGAACTCCCAACCTCTGGCTTAGCATCCATCCTCAACTCACTCTGCCATGAAGCCCTCATGAAAAAGAAGGAGGGTGATATGGTACACCTCACAAAGGAAAGCTTATGGGGTTTTTTTTAATGAAAGTAAATAAGGTGAGGAAGTGTTGTTAACAGTAGAGCCATCTCTAGATTTTTGCTCCTTCTAAATGTTGGTGCCTTGAGGCAAACCCCCAGTTGCTCCATCTTCCTTAGTGTCCTGACTAGAAATATTTTTCTTTAAATTGCAATTCCAAGGATCCCCAGCTAGCTTGGCTACTGGGCAGCTACACCCGTGGAACCCCTTCCACATAAATTAGAACTCTATTTGAGGAGGATATGGTGGCGCTGCGGGCTAAACCACAGAAACCTGTGCTGCAGGGTCAGAAGACCAGCAGTCGTAAGATCGAATCCACGCGACGGAGTGAGCTCCCGTCGCTTGTCCCAGCTCCTTGCCAACTTAGCAGTTCGAAAGCATACAAATGAGAGTAGATAAACAGGTACCACCTCGGTGGGAAGGTAAAACAGTGCTCCCTAGTCACGCTGGCCACGTGGCAACGGAAACTGTCTTTGGACAAGCGCTGGCTCTATGTCTTGAAAAACGGGATGAGCACCGCCCCCTAGAGTCAGACACGACTTGACTGAAAAAGTCAAGGGGAACCTTTACCTTTAAAGGGGGACAAGTCTGCAGCTTTAAAGATTGCAGGGAACTAAAAGAACTGGGAGGGGTCTCTCTCTCACCACACAAATCCCTTCCAAACTTGTTTGGAAGGCCTCGGAAACCTCCAGAGCAGGTTTTCCATGCTACAGGGAACTGCAGGAAGAAAATCCAGGCACTACTGCTAGCACAGCATCATATACAGCCATGCAAAATGCATTGCAGCATGGGCTGTCATGGGCTAAAGGGACAGTTGATTAAATGCATGGATCCTGCCATCTCTAGTTGGCAGAATACATGCATACACGATAGTCAAAAGGATGTGGAGGAAAAGTTTTTCT